CTTGCCGTATACTTCCTTTTTTGGTTTGTTAGCATTTTCATCTACATTGTTTCTTCTCTTATCATGTTTACTTTAGGTTCTGATTGTTCCAGGAATTGCTGTTTTCTTCCTTTAATGAAGATGGAGTTGAAACAGTGGAAGTTGCTTAAGCCATGTGTTGTGTCGTCAGGAGCTTTAAATAGAAGGCGAGTATATAGGTACCATTAGGTTCTTTTTATTTTTGGGTTTTGTAGACATTGATGAATTTGAAACTTGGATTAATGACTGTATGGATGACTTAAATGTGTGACTTGTGATGGAATACTAAAACTAGATGATGGAATGTTTAATTTTGCTGCTTGTTCCTCCAATCATGGTCATTCTAATTTTCTTTCAAACAGGAAGCCATTAATTCTTTATGGGATGTGCTCTGCTGTATATATATCCAAATGAGATGATAAGTTGTCTTTCTCGGAAGAAGCTTAGTGGTGATGAGAGTTATTTCTTCTTAACCGCTCATTTTTAAGCAGCTTCTTCGGGCTTATATTGATTTGTTGAACTTATTTGTTTGACTGATACCATGCCTATTGCCTGAGGATAGATTATAGATTATCACACAAGGGATTTGAAGGAGTGATGCTGTTAAGTTTTAACCATTTAAACCTACTCTTCCTGCAACTGTTTCTATACAAGAATTTCCACCACTAATCCCAAAATCTCACGGAGGAAAAGATTGCTTTTTATTTTTTGGTGGGTAGGTGGTGATGTAACTTAGAAACTACCTTCCACCAGAAATCACATTTTTCATTGATGGAATTATATAAGTTTCCATCATTAGATTTGCTTACACTTCATAAAAATCATGACTTTGCTTCTTCTGTAAGAAGGGCTTTTTAAAAGCAGTTTCAACCTTTCCATGTAAAGCAGTTTCTATTTCCTTCGTTATTCTCTTTTGTCAATAGCTATTTGAAAAAGTCATAAATATTATCTTAAAAAGATTACTCATTACTTAAGTTAATACTTGGTATGTTATTTCATATTTCGTAGAACTATTTTCTTGTGTGTTCCTATTTAAAAATTATTTTTGTTATATTATATTTAGTGTATGTATATCACTTAATTCATTAATGTATATATTTTTTACTAAAAAAAATCTCTAAAAAGAAAAAGGGAAGGGAAAATTATTTTAAGAATTCTAGTCTCTAGAAAAGGGTTCCCCTGTTACTCAACATTATCAAACAAGGACAGGGATTTGCAGGAAATTTATTCCTTTTGGCGTGCACAGCTCTTGGGAAGGTATTGAAGTCACTTCAAGAAAGGAATAAGAGGAGTAAAAAAATTTACTTGTATTCCTTCTCCTAATCTCTTAAAAATTGTTTAATTACAATCATGAAGAAGACTCTCCATGGGTGCACCATGTTCATGCTCTTTCAAAACTTGTTCTTGCTTTCTCCTCATCTTGATTTTCCTCACTTTCACAACTTCATTGTTCTTCATCTTCTTCTTGAAGCCTCAAAAGCCTGTTTTCACTCTACAGACCATAACAGTAGATTACTATAAGCTGCATGTTCATTCCAATTCAACCCTCTTCATTTCATCTCTTTTGTCTTTGACCCTAAATGCTCAAAATCCTAATAAGGTTGCCTTAAGGTTTAGCGCTTCTCGCCTCTACTTGTACCACGAACAACTTCCCTTATTAGGGGTTATTCAAGTCCCAGCATTATATCAACCTGCTCAAAGTAATGACACAAGTCTGCTAACACGGGTTTTGTTTCGTTGTGTTGATGTTACCCGGGTTATTGCCGGAGGCTCAATACAAGATCGTTCGAGTAAGAAGGTTGTTCAAATGAAAATGCTTGGTGATATCAGAGTGCATGTGCTGTTTTTCCATTTAACCCTGCCAACAATTAAGGTTTGTCACCCACCTGTTCTTGATTAATTTCAAAGGCTAGCTTATTAACATGCGGGTTTCGTTCCCTATTTATCTAATTTGCAGGTAGCCTTGGACTGTGACATAATTTTTGATTACACCCAGTTTTTTACTTTGATTAATAAGCTTCAAAATCAAGCCGTTTATGGTAGGAGACTTGATGATCACACTGTAAGTAAATATTATTTTTCTCTGACATTAAGAACCCATTAATTTGCAAACTTACTCTAATGATCAAACATTCTGCCAGGCATCTTCTTTTGCTGACTACTCCAGATTCTTGTCCAAGAATTGTACCTTAGCTCTCCATATATAAAGAAAATCAACCCAATAATGCCTCCTCTCATCAAATCAATCAATAGATGGATGAACTGTTATGTTTTATATTTTTCACAAGTCAATCAATCAATCAATCATCAAGGCCAAGTTGAACATAATTGTACTGGTGAGGAAACAAATCGAGCAAGTTTGACAGAGCACTACATGTGTTTTGGCGTATGCAAAACACTAGTCAATATTTGAATAGTAGAGAATTAGAGGTTCTCCAGCTTCGTTTATAGGAGGTATATACACCTGGGTTACTTCTATTAGTAGTAGAAAATGGCATATGGTTTGAGATTTGAACCAAAACTCAACGTTATCGTCAATTTTATGAACATAATTTGTTCGAGAGTTAAAATTTTTAAGGTTATGCATCAAGTAAAAAAATGGGTTGGGCAACCAAAGAATGAATTCTTAGCTTTGTAATAAATGATTTCATATCAAAGTAAAAAATTAAAAATAAAAACAATATATGATTGCCGACACAATAATCTTCTTATACTAAAGGCTCGAGTAGGGGTTACTTTCTAGCAAACCAAACACGACCAGTCATCATCAAGTTAGGGAAAATTACACTTAGAACAGTTTTGTGCTTCTCGAAAACTCTCTCTTTTGGAATTAATCATTCCTATTGGTAACGCTAATCAATTAATTAATACAAATCTCAATCGCCTAATTTTTCTTTTTTAGGTTGGATTATTTGTAGGTGTGTGTTTTTCAGCTCTTTTTCTCAAACATACAACACAAGTAATTCCAGATTTTATTAAAAACAAATTAATCAACAGTTTTCACGAGATTATACAGTTCGAGTATATTTAGATTTTGTCCTCCATATATATATATATATATATATGTGTGTGTGTATTTCTGCCATTTTTTAAAACTAATAGTCAAACTGTTTTTTTTTTTGCAATAAATAATTTTTATAAAATAATAAAAAAAAATTTAGGACGCAACAATCCCATATAATGCAATTTGTTGGAATAATTTATTTTTTAAATTCTTAGATTTATAATAACTAAACACATAATATCGTACTAAATTAATGAGAAATGTAAATGTAAGCGTACCTGCATCCATCGCAGAAGAATTATTCGCGTTCGGCGGTAGAATTTTTTGAATCAACAAGGTGCCTAAAAATTAATTTTTACAATTCTCATTTCGCCAGTCATTAAATAAAAATATTACAAAAATAGTATATGCACATTATAAACTCATACTTAAACCCGATGCACTAAGACTCAATACTATTTAACAATATTTAATTACTTTTAAATAACTCCATTAAATTAATAGCCTAATAAACATATTAAGGATCACATTAAATTCATATGTTAGAAAAAATCTAACACAATTAACCAATATAAAAACATGACTTAATCACCATAAACCAACAACATTAATAATCTAAATTCTAAGCTCCATTTGATGTAGAAATAATTATTATTTTTAATCCGTTGTAATTATTTCGATAAATCGCTACTAATGTTTCTTTTATTCAAAAATATAATAAATTGGTTGAAATTTATATTAATTTGGTAATCATAACTCTATTAATAAACTAACGAATTAAATTACCGATTTAACTGAATCTAAGATTAAAATCTGACTACCATGAGTACAAAATATA